ACCTCTGTTGAGAAAGTTCAAGAGAGATTACATGAAGAAACTTAAAGAAGTTAAAATAGTGCAAATGTGTTAACCGAGTATTTTACAATATAAATAATAGTCTGATCGCTTAACACTATGGAAAAGCAAGAAAGCAAAAGAGAAAGTAAGTGAGAAAAAGAAAGGGAAAGCAAACGGGAAAGACAAGAAAGCAAAAGTAAGAGCAGGGAAATATTCAAGCTAGAAAATAGAGAAAGCTCCACATTAAGAACAAGCTGACATTAACAGACATGAAAGTGAACTATTCAATTTCATCAGCCTTGTGCTGTTCGGTGGTCTTTTGGTAAATGGAAGAAGTTGGTAGATTTAGATTAGTACTAGTTTTCTGAAGTAAACCTAGAATAAACCCAGTTCAAAGTTTGTTTAGGTTAATACTGCCATAACAATAATGATGAAGTAAAGCTGGTGTATGAAACTCCAAGCAGTAAATTTTTCTCGCCTCAAAGCGAGGCTGTATGTAATCTGCTCCATTTGTTTGGTTGTTAGCAGTGTTGTGTGCACAGGTTGAAGATGTCACATAAAAAAAATGTGTGGAGGGTTTATAATAAAGGGGTCCTAAAATATGTGTATTTATTTCTCTTCATTCATCTCTTACATGTTGTCAAACGTCTTTTACCAATAGATCAGCAAGAATCTGTGTTGCTTAGGCTTCGAGGTTGACCTCTGACCTTTCCACATCCAGAAAACAGAACTGACTTTGTTGCTGTGACTTGGATAAAGAACTTGACTGAGATGTGGCTGCAAGGTTAGCACCAGTTTTAAGCTGACATTCATCACGAGAGCGTACCGACGCTGACAGAATCCAACATCAGCTTCTTATCAGAGCAGCAGTGGGGCGGGTCTGTAGCGGCCTGGCTGTAAACGCTGTCCTGTGGTGCCCTCTGTTGGATTAAACGCGTGTTGCAGCTGATGTTAAAGCCTGCCGTGCTCTGTTAGACTGCAGACTAGTCACAGGGAAACACAAGCACTGTTTTATCCTTATAAAAATGATGCACACATAATCAAAGAACAGCACGTGGTAGCATTTTAAAAGTAATGTTTTATTTCATGCTAAAGCTTTAAGATCAATCAATATAAACCCCGAGAACATAAACGGTAATAAATAAAGCAAATCAGTCAGCATAGAGAGAAATGAAAACTTGCTTTTTCTTTTTAAAGAGAGAAAGAAAAAAATAGAGAAAGAACTCAAGTAATAAGAGATATGGAATTCAATTTATCAAACTGTGGACTGACTCGCTACAGATGCTTATCTCAGTGCCTGAGCATAGAGCACACTACATCTGCTTAGATAACAGTGAAGGGTGACTGATCTCAAGTAGGGAACAAATTAGAAAGATATGGAAGATACATTCAAAAGTTTTAATAACCAAAAGTTTTTCTTTTAATTAAGAGAATAGCAAAGAGAAGACAGTGATGTGTTCAGGTGTTTCATTCCTGGAGAGCAGATAGTGACTCAATCCCTCGTTTTTTACATCGACAATAAATCTACACACAGGCCGTTTGATTCGGGGGTGTTGTTTGCATATCTATGAATCAATACTAATACCCCAAAGATTTTATGTGTACAATTCAACAATTCAGGTAAAAACATTGATTGTTTCCAGTGTCTAGTAATCTCTAACTAGGCCTGTTAAGGTGTGACACGTTTTAAACTTCCAACACTCTCAGTCGGACGTCGAACGTACCGTTAACACACCTCTACGCTCCAATAAATAAACGCTGTGATCAAATCTTGTCTGGGCAGCCATAATCCGGCCCATCTTGGAGAAAGTGCTGAAAACACCCAGTCCACCTTAACAGCTGAATACACACCATGCTGAGACATTCTGTACAGCCTCGACAACACACTTTGGTTTTCCTCAGGCTCACACACACACACACACACACGCACACACATATTATTTACTTTTAAAAATCATTCAGTAGTAAGTACACAATAGCTGACAGTGTAACACAGGACACCTGAAACATTCTAACCAGTAGTTTAAAATCAACCACCACCCTGATTTTTAAGGAGACTTGTACCCACTCGTGTGCTTGTTGTGTTTTGTACCCAACACTGAAAGCAGCATTGCAGTGTCGGGTCAACTAATTGAATCAAAATTTAGCCATGCAGTCTCAAATTCACTTAAGCAAAACAAACTCTCTCTAAATCCATGTAAGTGGAAGTGATCTGGATTTGCTTCTCGCTTCTGCTGCAGCGGCTTGTAATCAAATCAGCGAAGTGGCGCTGCAGGAGAGCGTCTGCTAACAGAGTAAACAGCGTGCTGGAGTGATACCAAGTATAAAGAGCTTTTTGTGTGTGTGTGTTTGGACCAGCAAGTTGCCAGAAGAAGTGGGATGAAGTTAAAAGGCCAACTTCAAATCACCTGCACCCACGGAGGGGGGAAATTACACAGTCACCATTTGGGTGTCTGTCTGCACCCTGCTGTAAGGTTCGTCTCTCAGTGAACACACACGTCGGCGCATATACAAGCACATGAAGCTCATTAAAAAAAAAAAGACTAGTCAAGCGGAGGAGACGCGACAATTACCAGAAGCAGTCAAGTCAAAAATAGCCTCCAAAAAAGACACTAAACTGTGTGTTTCCCCTACAGTACGTGAATGGATGTGCTTACACAATGTTTAAAACGAAGAGATGTACTGGAGTATGTAGACTTAATGGTGGCTGTAGTACACAATAGCGCCAAAAAAGAATTATCTATTTCTGCGTCCAAATTCTCCTTCGGTTCGCAAAAGCAAACAGCTTTTAGGCAGCTTTGAGGGTTAAAACGGCCCAAATTCATTCAACTCCAATTAACTGTGTACAATCATGTGTAGCATCCAGGCGGTCATTAAAAAGATGACGTCCAAAGTTTAGTGAAGTTAGCTAGCTAGCTAGCTACTTGATGAAGTGTTCATAAAGTATACAAAAGCTATAACTTTAAACAAAAAGGAGTGTTAGTGAAGTCAGGCTGGCTGACTACAGAAGTGTTGTTATGCGAATATCAACACAGCAGCAAAGGCAATGAATTAGATATGCTTTGGGGTGAGTACTTTTTATCCATAAAGTACAGAGGGGTACTTTATGGAGAAGTACAGCAGCGAGACGAGTGCCGTCATGCACAAAACTGACTAAATGGACCTGGAAACAGGGTCCATATGTCATCACACAACAAGCAGAGTATAGTTGCTGCTTTATAGTTACCTTTTGTATTCTCAGTTTTCTTAACCCCCTTTTAAAGTGCCTACCATAGCACTCAAAAGTCAAAACTGAAAAGCTTAAAGTTTTATGGATTTATCTAGAACTTACAGTGATAACTTAGCAGTACCAGCAATTTCTTAAATTCTTGAACTGCTTGAATTTTAGTTTATTCTCACACCAGCAAGTGAAATGGCAAAGCTGAGCCACATCTTTGACAATAGCTTAGCTGACTGACGTCTCCCTCTCATTCTTTTTACATTATTTTACCCTTTTTGACTTGAGAAAGGTAATGCTACAGATGCTAGCTGTGTGCCAGCTGTCTTAAATTAACAAAGTTAACAGATGCTTTTAGTTTTTAAGAAAAAAAAGCTTCCTTTTTTTTATAATCAAACAGTAGTTCATAATGTACATACTGGTTTCAGTACCATAGTGAAGTAACTGTTGTGGCTCTGGAAGAGGCAGTGTACTACTGTAGCCAGCACGCTAACAGCTAAAAGCAAGCACCCAAGGCATGCTAGCACTAGTCAGTTACAATAGCTCACCCAGGTTCTTTCTCCTTTCTTCTCACTGTGTTGTTTTTGTTTGTGGGACATCATTTGATGCGCTTCAGTTCTACTAAAGCGGAGGGGAAAATGGCTTCTAACAACTTGCTAACAGTCAGTCAGTAAGCAAGAAGTCGAGCGCTAATGAGATAAAACGTCTGGCACACTTTAGCTATTGACTCCTTTCTCATTATCGTTTGCATGAACAGTTTTCACTGTGACAGAGGAATAAAATTAGAGGTGCAAAACAACTAAAGAGCTGCATAGCTCCCCTAAATCAACTTGAAACATTATCATTGCACTAATATGACTTATAGGAGTTTCATGGTAATATCACTGCATGAAAACTGACAGTCGTCAGTTTTACTTTTATATTGGTATTGGAAAAAATTAAATTGCCTTTCTTTGCCGATTACCTACCAGAACTTAAATGTTTTTCATTCATTTATTACATTTATTTTAAAGGCCCTGCTCCCTTTTCCTTACTCCTAGTTTCTTCTAATTATATATAGCTTTATGAGTTTTAAATCATAAACATTTTAGACTCAAACTTATAATTTCATATTTTGAAACCATTACTTTCTCAAACTGTCACCGTGCTCCGATAATCTTGTTCTGCTGCAAGTTTTGCACTTTGTATTTGATCCACTTTTTACACACATTTTAACTGTAATTTTAGGGTCACTTTTACCATTTTACATGCCGGTGTGAGACTTTCAAACGATAAAAGGCAAACAAACATTCTGACCGTGTGGAGTACGATGTCGACACATGTTAAAACGTGTTTGTTCTGCTCAAACGTAGCTCTTTGGTACATTTCATCACCCCATGAAATGTATTTGACATGAAACATTATAATCATAGACCTACAAAAACAGGGTTGTGCATACCTGAGAAAGATTTTTTTTAAAGTGAGGAGGAAAAAAAGTCATAAATTGAGGCATGAGGGTCAAAAAAAAGGGCTAAAATATAGCTTAAAGAGAAAAGAGACTATAAAGACTCGGCAGTTCTCCTTACAACATTACATTCAGTTACATCAGCCACACCTTGTTTTTCCTTTCTAATTCAGCTATCGCCCACTCTGATCTGGAATAAAAAAGGGAGAAATGCACCAAACATGGAGCTTTTCTCCCGCTGACTTCAGAAGTGTAAGTAATGGATGAAAACTCTTGGGCGAACATGTACACGCACACACACACACACACACACACACACACACACACACACACACACACACACACACACACACACACACACTTTGTGTTCATCTCCACTGGACTTATTTTTCGTGACTAAAGCCCGGCCCTTGTCTTCAGCACCAGCTGATAAGTCTTGTTAAGGCCAGCTCGTTAAGAGAGGGCCATCTCCGTGGCAACAGCTTGGTGACATCATGTCCATTATGCAACGTCGTGTAAACTGGACGTTTTTTGTTTCGTTTTTTTCAGTAGTGAGAAATGAGTGTTTTTGGTTTAAAGAGTCAGTCGAGCAGCACGGCTTCATCGCCGTAGGATGGTCAAACAGGAGCGTGTGCACAGCGTTCTTCAGTGTGTTTGTTAGCTAAACACACCTAATTCCATACGTCTTCCCTGCAGCGTGTCTGCGTCAGTAGAACTTGTCATCGATGCGGAAGTGTGGCCTGGTGACATCATCGGGGTTGAGGAAGACGGATATGGATTTCCCAGGGTTCTCTGTGACCAGCTGCTGGAGCCGCTGCGCCAGCTTGTCCTCTGAAGGTGAGATGATGCCGTTGGCCGAGTGATGCCCGGGGGAGTTGTGGCCGTTAGTGCTTGCTGTCAGCTCCTTCTTCAGCTGGCCCGCCTGCTGGGCTTGGTCCAGAGCCGCCCGCAGGTGCTCGCTGGGATCCGAGCGCACGTGGGCCAATTTCCTGGCGACAAGGAGTGCCTGGCCGTCTGTCAGATGCTCCAACATGTTGCATTGGGGCAGGAAGTAATTTGGACAGTTTTTACCCAGGATGCAATGAGCCAGATCATCCAGGAGTCCCAGGAGGAGGCGGCCGGGTGTGTCGGTGTCCGGGCAGGACAGGTAGGCAGCAGGAAGTCGGTCACAGGCCCAGAAGAGAAGGGTGCGCAGGTGGTAGAGGCTGAGGCCTGTTCGTGGACGGGCCAGGATACGAGATAGGACGGCCTTGGCTGCTTGGAACGCCTGGGCCATGGGGAAGGGGATGCACTTCTTCAGCTGAACCTGTAACAGAAGAAACAAAAGCCAATGAGTGACCAGTTAGTAGGAAAGAGTGCAGGGAGCTGCTGTTGATTTTTACTTAGATTCCTCATTTATGTGCACTTGTTTCTCTCTAATTTATCGCCTCTACAGTCTAGTTTGGTCGTGCTAGCTTCTTTCAATAGTTTCTTTTTGTTACCAGACGTCCACATATGGCTGTGTGTGTTTTAGAGACGTGGTGAGAGATGGAGTAGAGCACACAGAGAACTAGCAGAGGGGAACACAGCCTTACTCGAGTTGATCTCAACGTGTCAGCTGGCAACAAAAGTTTCCCACAGAGTGTTTACTTCTCTGAAGCCACAGAGAGAGACGCTGACCTGTCCACACCGCAATAGAGCGACTTACATAGACAGACTTGCAGTGACTCTTTCTGTCAGATATTGTCACAGGCTGCTTTATGATTACATAAAAAGAGTCAGCATATTTTCACTTCTGAAACTTACTTTGAGGCATCAATTTTCTGTCTCCAAAACAAGTCAGGGTTAAGTAACACATCATCTTTGCCTCGCCTGTCGTCATGTGTGGAAGAGCTGCCTTAAAATCACCAGCACTGAATCAGCGAGCAGAAAGGATGCAAAATAATTCTCATTCTTCAAAAGTAAAAATACCTCTAAGTGCTAAAAATGCTACATTTTCTTTATCCTTGTGTTACACACAAAGAGTATGAAGAGTATTATCAATAAGAGTATCAATAAAATGATACCCAATTTTGCAAATAAGAGTGAAATAAAAATGGAGCATAAATGAAAAAGAACATTGGAAACAAAGAAAATTGTTACTACGGTAACAATCTCACTCACCTCGCTGCGTGAGAACGCCAGTCTCCACTCCCTGTCGGGCCGACCACCCAGCGGGGAGCAGCAGGGCAGCAGATAGAAGCCAGATATGGCCTCCTCCTCTGTGATTTTACCATCCCAGAAGTGGTTGGCAGTCAGCCAGCCTTGGGCCACAGCGGGCCAGCCTCGAAACGACACCACCGGCAGAAGGTCGTACAGCACCCGGCTCGAGCCTGCCTGCAGGAAGGAGAGTGTGGAGGAATATTAAATGTCACACACTCGGTGCTGAATTACAAACAGGGCGTGAAAAAAATGATTTTAACATTTGACTACAATCCTCTGCAATAATGATTTCACTCCACATAAACGTCCCATGAATAGGAGCAATTTTCTCACAGCTGCAAAGTTAAACAGCCCTGATGTTCTTTATCGACTGAGGCGTAAAGAGGGCTTCAGTTTATCACCGCAAGAAGAGCCGAAGCTGTACCTGCAGGATAATAGTAGTGAGGGGTCCGTTTCTCTCCAGGCGGTCTGGGGTGGGGATGCCTCTTTGGGGGCTGCGCCTCAGCTCCTCTACAGCCTCACTCACGACCCCCCAGAACCAGTCCGTCACCAGGGCGGGAGAGAAGTAGCATCCATCCAGAGACTGAGGGGAGCCCAGGGAGGGGATGGAGCCTTTACCTGAGCGGGGAAGGGATGGCGTGAGGCAGGATGAGTCACTGCTTCTATACATTTATCTCACAGCGTGCAGTCACAGAGCCCGAAGATCTCACATTCATCACTTCAGGTGCTTAGCCAGAACCCCACAAGACCTGGAAGACCGTTGTTATTCTGTTTTCTGTACTTCTTGTTTACTTTACTCGAGACGCTGCAGCCTGCTACAGTAATCTTGTGGGGCTGTTTATACACACTAAAAAAGTAGGACACTCAATACATCACATATTTACGGCGCCAAAGTTTCAGGGTCCCGACGGAAGCCAATTTCAGACAAATACTCCGGGCACGCTAATGGCCCGTTCCCACTGAACGCGTCATTTGTCACATAAAAATCGCGGGCAAATTAAAAACTACTGCAGCCGCTGAAACTGCTCCCGCAGGACGTGCATAAGTCACAACATCATTGGGAGCAGGCCTCAAGGCTGTAAACTTCATTAAATAGATTTAATTGATCTTCCACTGTTTACGTGTTTCCCCTTTATTTCCTCTGTGCTATACAGTGTAAACTGTGACCTAAAGGATGAGAGAGGCTGAGACGTGAGTAAAAAAGGTGTTACACTCGTAAACGTCGCTCAGTTTATTTAAAATTGTATCACAACACCATGCATCAGGTTATGAGAGACATGACTTCGATTCAGTCAGCTCACACACAGTCCTCCTCTCCATCTAGGAAATTCTCCATCCCAGTTTCATCTCTGATTATCCTTTTTTTTTTTTGCAACTCACCCATTTCCTCCTCCTCCTCCTCCTCTTCCTCAGTGGGATGCCCATTCTCCTCCTGGCAGCAGATGCTCCAGCGGGACAGGATGCTGGAGTCACAGAGGCGAAGGCTGAGCCATGAGTGGCAGGGCGGGGAGTGTCTCATGTCCAGAGTGACTGGCTGGTTCCGGTCGTGAAGCTTAAGGGCGGGCACCAACAGGGTGAAGTCCAGGTCAAAGTCGGCCCCTTTGGCGTAGTCCCCAAGATCCTCGGGGTTGAGGTCCAAGACGCCCTCACGGGCCCCGCCAGAGAGCAGCAGGTACTCGTTGGCCACCGGGAGGCGCTGGTCCACTTTCTGAACTAAGCCTAGAATTATTGAGCAAGAGGAAGAGAAGCTAATTAAATAGATCCTGCTCTTCTTTTCCTTGCTCTCTGTCAGATTTCATTACACTTGTAGATGCTCACAGATGTGTGAGTTTGTCAAAGAGTCCTGCATGAGCACTGCACTAGACCCTAATGAACAATTCAGTGCTTACATGTAGGACTGAAAAATCTCAATCCCAGCCCCACATATGCTACACAAACATGAAGAATAAACAGACTGACACAAACAAAGATCCTTTTACACATCTCCAGGTAACGAGCTAAAGAAAAAAGGATGAATGTTTTATAGTTTTGTTAGCTAAGTGCATATATAAGATGAAGGTGGGGTGATAAATATCAGTAATCAGATGATCATCTCATTATATCCTCATTGTATTTTAGTCCTGGCTGCATCAGGAGTGATAAAAAGAATTCCTCACTCTGTTATTTGGACAGTTTATATGAGAGAAACTCGATCCCTCAAATCCCTTTATGGCTACTTAGCTGTGCTGTATATGTTACAGGCTCCAGGCCCCTGGGAGCTGCAGTGCTGGAGTCAACTAAATTATGTTTTGCCAGCTTTAAAGTGCAACTGAAAAAGCCTTGATCATACAGCCAAAACTGCACTGGTGTGAAGCTCCCTGCTAGCTACTATAGGTCAAAGGTAAAGCACAAATATTTCAAAAACACTTTGCAGGGAAGAGATTGTTAGAGGTTGAACCTGAGAGTGTTTATCCCCACAGGGCAGTAAAGCAGCTGGAGATAGCTGCAACGGGGGCATCAGACCAAGCCAGCAGGCCATGGGTGGGGGCGCAAAGCTCCTAATGTGATCCTCTCATCCTGTTACATGGGTACAAAACCTCAGTGGTATGTGATGTTTTCACGTAGAGCCATGTGTGCGCATGTGCGTGTACCTGTGTGCAAGGCAAATATCTAGATTACTCTACGCATTAACACCGGTATATGACCGGTGCTGGTACAAGCAGAGACCCAAAGACACAGGATAGATGTCATATCAGAAAAGTTGGACAGCTGCAGTTACAATATTAGCCAGTGACAGTCTGCTAAGTTTACCAACTTTCCCTCTGAAAACTACAAGATTATTGGACAATTATAGAATATAATTTATACACAAAAAGAAATTGTGCTTATTCCATAAAGTATTTCAAACTGATAAAGCAAAAACATCGACTCGTTTTCCAAACAGCTTCATTCAGCTGGCAGCAGCAGCTTCATCCACAGACAGACAGAACAGGAGTCTAATGTAAGAATAGAATCAGCAACACTTTAACAACAACAGTGAAACTTAACAATGTAACTTTTGTACCATCTACACAATATTGTCACATAATAAAACTCCCCCAAAACAATTAAATGAAACTCCCACACACTGTCGCTAATACATTTATTAAAAAATTACAACACTTCTGTCCTGTTTACCTTCATCAGGTACCTGATTAGAATATAATGGCCTAAATTTATTACCAGGAAGCAAGACAGGTTTGTGGGAGTTTCACTTAATTGCCTTTTGGGGAATTTTTCTTCCAACGCACCTACAACATATTCTGAAATTTAAAAATATTTTCTATTGTGGATCTTGTATACTTAGCTTTTTGAGCAGCTACTTAAAACCTGGCTTTTCCACCACGTAACCGCACCAGGAATTTCCATCTACAGTTTGATCTTCCCGTCATAACGAGTGAGTACTCCAGCGACGCTTGGTGGAGTAATTTGTTTACACACATCATGATCTGCTATTATATATGATGCATTTCTGCCTAAGTGTGTTATTTCCACCCTAAGCAGAAACAGTTTTCCTGCATATTTTATGAAGTGCAGCGCTTTGGTAGAGGTTGTTGAAATAGTGCCCTTTTTACTAAATTATTGGAGACGGCTAAGCAGCTCTCAGTTTCAGACATGCCTGGGCTCGTCTAGTTGTTGTGTGGACAAGTGAATGCAAATGCATACATAAAAATGTATTATTATCACAGGCGCCATGATATGGTGGAGCCCTAGAGATAAGCCTACGGTGCCCCCGAGAGGTCAAATGGACTGGGGAAAAAAACAGCAGCAATGAGAAAAAAAGCACAAAAAAAGCACATTAGAAGTTGAATAAAAGACTACAAAAATACTACAAGAAACACTTCCATTTTTTTAGCTTTTTTTGTGATTGTGTTTTACGCGACCTCCGTTGCTTTAAAAAAAAAACAACCAACTATCTGTTTGACGTCTCACGGCCACCGTATCAGCCAAACGATGAAGCTAATAATTCGCTAACACAAAGTGGTATAAAGAAAGCCTTTCTTAGGTCTTCCAGTGATGTAACCTGTTAAATTTAATGTGGTTTATCTGGCTGGTTTCCTAGTAAAAATTAAAGAATCGTGTCATATAAATAATAAATATAGAAACAGCAGGAACAGCTGATGAGAACCAATGCAGCAGCAGCATCACCACCACATGCTGTGTGCTACTTTACATGAAAAAGGCCAAAGAGTTAGATTAACTATAAAGTATTAACAAAACTGGCTGGAAACTGGAGGAAAAATGAACATGGGACTAGCGTGTGAGTCAAAGTCAAAACTGCTGATGAGCATCTCTCTGGTGATTTGCTTTGAGAAGTAGGAGGGGGGAAAAAGAAAGCACCACAGGGTGAGCTGTCAATGAGAAGAAGGAAAGCAGGAAGTACGTGACAGCTCGTCTTTAGATCTTCACATTTCTCAGCAGAATCGGCCCATCTAACTCTACGAGCTCCATTCGTTCTCCGACTAGACAAGTGTCGCTCACTCCTAAGACAGATGCTCCTGTTGGACTTTATGTAAAACACTCAAAGTCCTCTGCATCTCCAGCCGCCCTCAGCATTCCTAAAGGTGATAGCATTACTAGTTTTAAACAGGTAATTCAGTAATCTAGTCTGTTTATCAGCCATCTTGACAGAGGAGTTTTCCAGCACTTAACCTGTAACAGTGGATCTTCAGCAAACATCCTGCTAACAGAAACCTCATATTGTTGTAGCCAACTGATGATACCATACGGGGGTCAAGCATTGGTCAATGGTGCTCGCTACAGTGCAAAACACATCATCAACTGACATGCACCGATCAGGCGTAACATTAGTGAGAACTCTGAAACTTTGGGTCCTGCCATCCATGTGGATGCTACTTTGACACACATCACGTACGTACATGGTTGAAGACCATGTAACCTTTTCATGGCAACGGTATTCAATGATGGCTGTGACCTCTTTTAATATGATAATGTGCTCTACCATAAAGCAAAAACGGTTTAAGAGTGCTTTAAGAAGCACAACAATTATTTTGAGGTGTTGATTTGGCCCCCAAATTTCCCAGATCTCAATCCAATTGAGTATGTTTGGGATGAGCTGGAAAAACCTGTCTGATCCAAAGAGGTCCCACCTCAAGACTTAGACAGGACTTAAAGGATCTGTTGCTAACATCTTGGTGTCAGGTAGGACAGCAAACCTTCAGGGGTCTAGAGGAGCCCATGCCTTAACGTAGGGGTGGGGGAACATCCTCAAGGGTCGGTGTCCTGCAGGTTTTACATGTGTCCTTGATCCAATAGGGCTAATTTAAACGGCTAAATTACCTCCTCAACATGTCTTGAAGTTCTCCAGAGGTCTGAGGCCTAATCACTCGATTCAGGTGTGTTGACCCAGGGTGATCTCTGAAACCTGCAGGGCATTGGCCCTTGAGTCCTGGAGTTCCCCCACCCTTGCCTTAACGGGTCGGGGATGTTTTGGCATCAAAAGAGGGGCTGACACAATATTAGCCAGGCAGTTATAACAGTGGGCACAGTGTGACCAACTGATTATCAGAACTTCAAACCTGAAAAGACAGAAAGAGACAGGGGGAAAGGGTAGAAATGGTAAATGGGCAGATCAAAGTGAAGAAGAAATAGAAAAGACAGTGTCAGAGACGCCAGCCAAAGGGCAAAAAGTTTGAAGCTCCAGCTCCTCTGATTTGTTTGGTTTTATCTGCCACTGATAAAAATGGGTCAAATAGGCGAGGAGGAGGAAAAGAGTGATGAAAAAAAAAAAGAATAAAAAGCATCTTATCTCTCCAGCTTCGCTTAGAGACCAGAGCACAGAGGAGAAACTGCATCAATTAGTGAGGACTCTTCAGTCTCCACGCTGGATGTGGGGAGTTTGAGGTTGTTCCAAAGAACACAGTCGACTTTTTAATACCAAACTCTCAAATCGACAGTCGCACGCTGCTTAGCTGGGCATCTGCCAGTGAACATGCGGGCACACGTGACTCGCACAACACACTGTGATGTGTGAGTCTATAGGCGAGCACACACGGTTGAGAACAGAACTGAAATGGAGACAGTCTCGGCTGGTTTCACAGCCACGGATTAACCCTAATCCTGTAAGAAATGTCTTTGAATGCAGATTTCTATTAAAGGAAAATTTTTCCGTTAAGAGCTATTTCTACTCTAGACTCAATTCTAGGTCTGTGAAATGACTATTTGGTAGCAGTTAGCTTCCCCACATGTCCAACCTGTCTGACTGATGTTATTAGCATGTAACTGTCAACTTGCCCCCATCTAACTGAGCACTGATTGCAGACTAGCTCCCTCTTATGGTCGTCTCATGCACCAAAGTCCCTTTTGAAGTCTGCTGTGAGTGGTTGCAGACAGGTCCCCATCTTAGAAGCAACCACTTCAACCTCAGTCTCCAACCACTGTTTTCCCCAGTGTTTCCATTAGCACACTTTTAGAGGGTTTTACATTTGACCAGTGTTACTACATACAATTATAGTATTTGCTTTTGTGAGCACTAAAGTTAATTTTAAAAGAATACTTCAAAATAAGCCCAAAGGAGTGTCTGGAGGCATTTCAGGATGGCTGCCAAGTGGCAGCTTCTCGACAAGGGGTGGGGAAATCCAGGCCTCAAGGGCCGGTGTCCTGCATGTTTTAGATGCGTCCTTGATCCAACACAGCTGATTTATATGGCTAAATTACCTCCTCAACATGTCTTGAAGTTC